TTTTTTTTTTTCAAATCTGCTACAGTTGTCTTCCCTTCATATGGCTAGTTCAGAGACGAATACTTCTATAAATTTACTTGAAGATCGTAAGCGACTAATTTTAGGTTCAACCGTCATGAACTTATATCGTAGGCTACGATATAAATTGTCTCGAACATGATATGAATTGTACCACGACAGATACACCACTGTATAGACCCTGTATGGGATCTTTTGAAGGAAAGTGAGTGGATAAGTAAGTGGGACCTCTCCGTGTCCACAGTTTATATACATACTCAGTCGCGCCATTATATACATACCGCCTGTTGCTGTAATTCGAAAAATTGCCCTTTACAGTTTATAAAGAACAATAATATTGATCTCTGAATGACGGATCGAGCAAAACGATTTTTAAGTGTGATTGCTTTTGAATCTCCGCTCTATCTTGTTTACCAGTTACGCACTGCTTTACATGAAATAAAAATATAAAATATTTGCAGTTTATTTTTTTTTTCCTGTACTGTGTTCAGTAAAGCGTTGCATATGTTAATAACGGTCAGATTCACAGCAAACATTGTCATCAATTACGCTTGCTTCCTCGGCAAACTGTGTGTTGGTAATTCAGCAAACTTTAATTCGTTTTTGTGCTGCATGAGCGAAGTCTTCGCAGAAGAACACATTGTTAGGTAGCGAACCAACATAATTCAACGATGCACCGAAGAAAGTAAAATATTAATGTTACCGCGATTGTTTATATATCATATTACGTTGTTCTAGTACTTAATTAAGCCTTTAGACTAAAAATCTTATAATTCAAAAAAAATCTGTATTAATTGACTTTTGTATTTAAGGCCAAGCGTTCTCAATCTCGCCCACTGACAACCGAAGTATCCTTGTTTGAGACACAGGTCAGTTCCCGTTTGTCTAAATTTCTCTTCAGTTAGTGTTATTAAGACAAGTCAGTGCTGCTGTTAAATGGTAATGCATAAAAAGAAACAATAATAATTAAACAAGCAAAGAAGAAAAGGATAATAGATATTGCCTCAGGGGTGATACTGAACAAGTTTCAGAGGCAATTTCGTGTTCGCTTTATTAGCATTTTTTATTCAACTTACTTTGGCAACGAAGACACAGTCAGCGAAGGAACAACAGTTTTATTTACACAAGTTGAGCTACGCTGAACTTATCGAAGGCTTCACATCTTTGTTATTTGAAAGGTAAGTGTGATAGATTAGTGATTGATCTTCAGTATGACTGCTTCTGCATGCGATGCATACGAATACGAATTGACTTTGGTGGAAAATAACAAAAAAAAAATTGACTTCTAATTTTTCTAAATCGATAGCCTCAGCACGGAAAAGGTTTGAAATATAACCTGCAACTGCCTTTCATCCAGGGCTAAAAAAAACCTGCAATTTACAGATCACCGTTGTTCCATCTTAATATATATTTAGACAGAGCAAAAATGTTAGTGCCAAGAAAAATAGTTGCTACGCGAGAATAAGCATGACGTGGCGAAAGTACTTGGCTATTCTTTAACGTTATCAATTTTTTTAAGAACGTGAAATAAAAGTTCTTCTGTGTTTGTTATCGAACAAGGTATATTTCGCAGCCAAATATTTACTCAGAGAGAACATGAAACAGAATGTCTGATAGTTAAGAAGAATCTATCTGATACAACCGGCCCAAAGCAGTTTCTAGTTAACAAATGTTCAGAGTTTTTCGACTCAACATTTCAGATACAATGCCGGTCAACAAGCGGTTGCGAATAATAAAAAGAGCAGAGTGAATAAAACCATTTCATTTTGACTTACAGGAGGAAATGATGGCCGCTATATTTGTATTGCTTCTGGTTACTGTCTTCCATGGTTATGTCAGTGGTTATCCTGTCACAGGTATGTCTATGATCGATCATCAACATTTTTTTTCTCGCTTTGTTTTAGTTTTTCTTATTCCGTGGAATTAACCGCGGAATCATTAGCTACTCTTGTTCGAGATAACATATAAAGGCCGCTTTTTGGCGAGAGAGTCCACTGATTAATTAAAGAAAACAAAACAAAACAAAATTCTTTGCTTTGAAAAACAACCTAAACGAAAGATTTTTAACCTTTCGCGAGTAAAACAGAGCCACTTCAAATTATGTGGCTACAAGACCCTTGAAACTGATTGGAATAAACTTTTCACACTCTATTTTCCTTACAAAGTAAAGCTATACTCCCCCGCTGAACCCCTACCTCCAAAAAACCGAAGGAAATTGATTATCTTTTCTTGATCCCTCACATTAATAACGAAACCTTATGGACTTGTGGTTCCTTCTTTCCATGCACTTAACTAGAAAACGAGGAGATACCTTTTTAAAACCAAATGGAAAATAAATTACACCATTCTTCATTCACTGGAAAATTTCATGAGAATCAAAAGTGTTTGAAAATTAGAATAGCCTCCTACAAATTGAAATTTCTGTCACTTTTAACGGTGAAGAGAGTCGGTAGAAAACTAGCAATCTCTCTCTTTTGACAATGATTAGCCGAAGTGCCATTCATCCATGTAAAATGAACAGCAATTAATGCCTACGAAATCACGCATTGTCACTTAAAAACGTACTGATACATACCTGTATGTATACATACATCACTTTATTCTGTCTCGAAATTTATAGAGTAGCTAAGAAGCTAATATCTTCGAGAAAAATGACATTGTAAATGTAAAAACAACACGTAAACTTCTACTAACTATTATGTTTGACTATTAGAAAACATCTAACCAGTGTAGTAATCAGCAATTATGCCTGAAAGGAAACTGCTTTCACGAGGCGTTTAAAACTAGACAAAGTACTGACTCCGTTCTATGTTCTCAGGAAGAAAGTTACAAGTTTGGCAAGCAACATACTTAAGTGTGAAGACCATAAGAATTGGAAGCAGTGTTACACAATTAAAACATATCAAGTCCTCTAAGAGAGCATATTAACATTTGTTGGTTGTTTCTTTATTCCTTCTTTTCTTGAACAGGTTATGCTCTCCATTTCCCACACCAAGGAGTGACTGATTACGCCAACGTCTGGGGCATGCGCACTTTGACTCAGTTTACTGTGTGCCTCTGGATGAAATCAAGTGCTTCAAATCCTGGCACACCATTCAGTTATGCTGTACCAGGGCAGAGCAACGAGCTGATCATCTACAACTACAATGATTTCAGTTTGTACATTGGAGGCGAATACAAGTAAGCTAAATTTTATTTAGCCGTTCAAATTTAGCGGGTTTGAATTGAGTTGAAACGTGACATC